TGGGAGGCTGAGGCATGAGAATCACTTGAACTCAGGAGGTTGAGGTTGCAGTGAGCCAAGATTACACCACTGCACTCCAGCCGGGGAACAGAGTGAAATTCTGTCAAAAAAAGAAGGAAGGAAGGGAGGGAGGGAGGGAGGGAGGGAGGGAGGGAAGGAAGGGAGGAAGGGAAGGAGGGAGGAAGGGAGGGAGGAAGGGAGGAAGGGAGGAAAGGAAGGAGGGAGGAAGGGAGGAAGGGAGGAAAGGAAGGAGGGAGGGAGGAAGGAAGGGAAGGAGGAAGGGAGGAAGGGACAAAGGGCGGGAGGGAGGGAGGAAGGGAGGGAGGAAGGGATGGAGGGAGTGAGTGAGGGAGGGAGGGAGGGAGGAAGGGAGGGAGGGAGGAAAGGAAGGAGGGAGGGAGGAAGGAAGGGAAGGAGGAAGGGAGGAAGGGACAAAGGGAGGGAGGGAGGGAGGGAGAAAGGAAGGGAGGGAGGGAGGAAGGGAGGGAGGAAGGGATGGAGGGAGTGAGGGAGGGAGGGAGGGAGGAAGGGAGGGAGGGACGGAGGGAGGGAGGGAGGGAGGGAGGAAGGAAGGAAGGGAGGAAGGGAGGGAGGGACGGAGGGAGGGAGGAAGGAAGGGAGGAAGGGAGGGAAGAAGGGACGGAGGGACGGAGGGAGGGAGGGAGGGAGGAAGGGAGGAAGGGCAAATAGCACACCCGATATGCGGATGCTCTTCTGACACTTTGGGGCTTGCATCAAGAATGAAAGTTTGTTCCTCACCCTGTCCTAAAGGGGATATGTGCAGAGGGGCTGTCCTTAAGAATTCAGTTCAAGGCACCCTCTGCAGCCCATCAGCCAAGAGTGAGAAATACCATGAGGACACAGCCCCATCTCACCTACCCCCTGCCAGCCCCTGCTTCTTGCATTCACCCAAACACTTGCCCCTGTCCCTCAACATTCCTAGAACCTTCACCGTCCTCTGAGGTCAGTGATGTATTTAAAGCACTTGTTTTCATCCTGTTCCCATCAGTAAGATTTAATGTAAGATACTCAGAAGGGAAATTCCACTCTCTTTCCTTCTGGGAAATGAGTGGCTACATTGTCCAGACCCAAATCCTTAGCCTAACATTTCTGCCAAAATCCAAAAGTTCATGATTTCACTGAAATAAGGCCACACACATCTTAGGCAACCACGAGTACCTCTTCACATCAACACGTGAGCTTCCCTTTTTCCCCTCCTTTTATAAAAGAAAGGGATTGGGTTTTTTTTTTTTTTTTTTTTTTTTAACTCTTTCACAAGATCTAAGCAACTTGATTTTTGTGTGTATGCTTTTTTAACATTACAAATCCTTTAAAGTGGGTAGAGTTGGAAAATATTTATCTCAATGAACATTAAACAGCTCAACAGTGTCCCCTGCTGGCCATGAGCACAGAGAGCGGGAACCTGAGCCACTAAGGTTCTATTCTAGCCTGAAAAACAAGATAGGAATAAGTGTCTCAAAATGAAACCCCCTACCGTCTACTCAAAAAAATATGCAGTGGTCATTCAAACCAGAAAAGCACAGCATCCGAATATGATAAAGACCACAGAGTAGGAAATGGAGACAAAATCATTATGCATTTTAATAAATAACCATGGAAAGAAATCCCCAAACTGATTTGTCTCTCCAGCCCAAAATGTGGAGAATTCTTTTCGGTTGCAAGTATTCATCAACTAACCAGACATCTCCTCAACATCAATACTGCCCGCAGACTGTTGTTTTAAAATTTGGGGCTGTTAGGTTTCCTATCGGTACCATTCTTACCCATTAAGGATTTAATGTAAAACATACAAACAAATATCTCTGTCTTCAAGAAGCTCCTGTTTTAGTAGGAGAGAAAGAAAATGAACAAAAGAGCAAAAAGTTTTTAGAAAACAAGCTCTAGGCTGGGCACAACGACTCATGCCTATAATCTCAGCACTTTGGGAGGCCAAGGAGGGAGGATCACTTGAGTCCAGAAGTTCAAGACCAGCCTGGGCAACATAGGGAGACCCTCATCTCTATTAAAAAAAAAAAGAATCTTTTTTAATTAGCCAGACATGGTGGTGTGCACCTGTAGTCCCAGCTACTCAGGAGGCTGAGGCAGGAGGATTGCTATAGGCCAGGGGTTCAAGGCTGCAGTGACTTTGATTGCACCACTGCACTCCAGCACCTGGGTAGTAGAATAAGACTCTGTCTCTAAAAAATAATAATTAATAATTTTTTTAAAAAGCTCTATGAAGAAATTCAAGCTGGGATACAGAGTAATAGCATGGAAATGTGATGGCATTTGAGCAGGCACCTGAACAATTATGGAGAAGCCATATATTGACAGTGTCCCAGGAAGTGTGAACTGCCGATGGAAAAGTCTGGATCTTGAAAAGCCTTTGACCCAGTTAAGGAACTGCAAGAAGGCCAGGGAGACAGCTGGTGCTTAATAGGAAAGGAGGAGGGCAGGGAGAGATGAATTCAAAGTAGGCAGGGGCCTCCATGGTGAGGAACTTGGATTCCATTCTAACTTTAGTGGAAACTCGCTGGAGAGTTTTGAGCTGGTGCTGACATGTTCTCAAACGCATTTTTAAAAGATCGCTCTGAATGCTGAGTGATCTTTTTAAAGTTTTGGTGAAGACAAAGACTGGAGTCCAGGGTGGGAGGTATCATAGGCAAGAGGAAACCAGTTTGAAAACTACAGCAGGAGTCCAAGTAAGAGGTTGCTGTCTTGGATTAGGGCAATTGTGGAAAAGGCGCAGGTGGGGAGAAGTGGTTGAATTCAGGATATATTTCAGACAGCAAGCCAGCCAACAGGGCTTGTTGACAGATTAGAAATTTGGGGATGGGACAGAACCAGTTAGGACTCATTTTTGGCCTGAACAATTGGGTGAACAGGAATGCCAATAACAGACAGAGACAGAGAAGCCTGGTGGAAAATAGATTTGGGGGTGAGGGCAGAGGTGAGAAACCATAAGTTCCGCTTGATTTGCCTGTTAGATGTTCAATAGGACGTGTGTAGAAGATGGGTGGATATAGGAGTCTGGTGCTCAAAGGAGAGGCTGAGACTGGAAATTTATTTTTGGAAATCCTCTGCATATAGGTAATATTTCTAGCCATGAGACTGATTGAGATCACCTAAGGAGAAGGGGTAGATAAGGAAGAAAAGGAGACTAAAGAAGGATCATAAAAGTAGATGGAGCTAGCAAAGAAGACTGAGAGAGGACAGCAAGGCAGAAGGAATCAAAACTAAGGGAGAGGGGTTTTCAAGAGGAAGGGAGTGTCAATGCTATCAAGGAAATCAGGTAAGAACAAAACTGGGCCAGGCACAGTGGCTCACGCCTGTAACCTCAACACTTTGAGAGGCCAAGATGGGCAGATCACGAGGTCAAGAGATCGAGACCATCCTGGCCAACAGGTTGAAACCCGATCTCTAAGAAAAATACAAAAATTAGCTGGGTGTGGTGGCACACGCCTGTGGTCCCAGCTACTCAGGAGGCTGAGGCAGGAGAATCACTTGAACCCAGGAGGCAGAGGTTGCAGTGAGCCAGGATTACACCACTGCACTCCAGCCTGGCAACAGAGCAAGACTCCACATCAAAAAAAAAAAAAAAGGTCCATTGGATTTGGCAAGATGAGGATCAAACAAACAGCCTTTCAGTAACGCAATGAAGATTTATGCTTCATAAGTGGGATGAGTGAAAGCGGGAACAGAAGGTAAGCATGTGGAGCCTACAGAACAGCCATTTCTTTCAAGGAGTTTTCATGAACTCCTTGTTTCATATTCGCTCAGAACATGTGTGAAGCGGGGGTCACAGATGTGAAGACGGGGAGAAAAGGAGTGGAAAGTGAATTTATTGGGAACCTATAGCGGGACTGCAATCACTGTTCCCTGATAGGAATCTATACCTTTTTTTTTTTTTTTTTTTTTTTTTTTTTTTTTGAGACAGAGTTTTGCTCTTGTTGCCTAGCCTGGTGTGCAATGGCATGATCTCAGCTCATTGCAATCTCCACCTTCCAGGTTCAAGTGATTCTCCTGCCTCAGCCTCCTGAGTAGCTGGGATTACAGGCACCCACCACCATGCCTAGCTAATTTTTATATTTTTAGTAGAGACAGGTTTCACCATGTTGTCCAGGCTGGTCTTGAACTCCCTGTCTCAGGTGATCCGCCCACCTCAGCCTCCCAGAAGTGCTGGGATTATAGTTGTGAGCCACTGAGCCTGGCTAGTAATCTACTCTTAAAGCACTTGCAACAGAATGCCAACTATATATTACTGAGAAAGAAACAGCCACAAGCATCTTTTGTTTAAGTATGAAGTATTTTAAATTCTTTAAACATCCAGAAGGTATATAACCAACACTATGGACACACCCACATTTCTTCAATGCTAACATTTTATTTCAGTTATCTTTTTTCCCCCTGTAGACTTCCCCCCCAGTTATGAGCTATCTTTTTAAGAATAAAACATAACAAGCTGGGTGCAGTGGTGCACGCCTGTAATCCCAGGACTTTAGGAGGCTGAGGTGGGTGGATTTAGTCTAGGGGTTCAAGACCAGCCTGGACAACATAGTGAAACCTTATCTCTACAAAAAATACATCTCCTCAACACCAATAGCTCTTATTTTAAAAGTTTGGGTTGTTACGCTATCTATCAGTACCATTCTTACTCATCTCTACAAAAAACATTAGCCAGACGTGGTGGCCTGCTCACCTATAATCCCAGCTACTCAGGAGGCTGAGGTGGGAGGATCACTTGAGCTCAGGTCAAGCGCCTCTGCACTCTAGCCTGGGCGATAGAGCAAGACCCTACCTCAAAAAAAGAAAAAGGAATAAAATGTAGCAGTCACAGCTATAAGCGCCTTAAGGCACCTCTCCAATTCAGTGTCCTTCCTCCTCTCCCTGTTAAAAGTTTACTACATAATGATAAAAAGCAACAATGTTCCTCTTTATCCGGGCCTATGAACAGGTCTGTAGTAACTTCGTTAATACAAACGCTGCTGTTCAAGATTTACCTGTTATCTGGGTTGTCAGGGAGACAACCACAGGAAGTTCCGAAGACAAAGCCCGGAGACTGATATTGTAGTTGGTCCCTGGATGCAGTTCCAAGCACACTTCAGGATCTTGGCTGCTGGTGCTGATATTAAAGGTCATTTCCCAAACAAATTCCTTCTGATACCATCTCTGGCCCCAAATGTGGAACTGAAACATAAAAAAAGCTCACTAGGTGAATGCTTGGCCTGAAAAAGTTTAGATGCCTTGAAACTTCCCCTTTTTCTTTCTTTCATTTTTATTTATTTATTTATTTTGAGACTGGGGCCTCTGTCACCCACACTGGAATACAGTGGCATAATCTCAGCTCACTGTAGCCTCAACCTCCCAGGGTCAAGTGATCCTCCCTCCTCAGCCTCCCAAGTAGCTGGAACCACAGATGTATGCCAACACATCCAGCTAATTTTTGTATTTTTTGTAGAGATGGGGTTTCACTATGTTGCCCAGGCTGGAATCAAACTCCTGAGCTCAAGTGATCTGTGAGCCCACCATGGATCTCAAAGTGCTGGGATTACAGGCGTGAGCCACCATGCCCGGCCCCTTCCCTTTTCCATAAGCTTTCTTCCTCTCTCTCTCTTTGGACTCTAATGTTTCTTCAAAAAGTAAAATGCAGCAGTAAGCAAAAATTAGAGTTGCAATACTATAAATATGGTACTTACAATACTATTAGCATAATAAATCTATTTTTAAATTAAAAAAAACACAAAAGCCTGAGGTCCCAATACTGGCGACTTTCTCCTTGTTATCACACATACAGTGAACATGCCCAACAAGAAAGTCTGTTGGCAAAACAGCAGGAGCAGGGACAAGAATATTTTCCTAGAAAGAATATTAGGAATCCAAACTAAGCAGGAACTGAATTAGAATACTCGTAGTTGGTCCGGTAGAACCTGAGAAGGATTTTTCTTCTCTGCCTGCCTCCTTCCGGAGACTCTACCCTTTCCTTTACCACCCTGACATTTTGGCCAAGAGATGCTCTTCTTCTTACTTAATTTCTTCTAGTAGAAGTTCATCCTTCATCCCACAGTCTTTCCTTTTTTTTTTTTTTTTTTTCTTTTTTGAGACAAAATCTCACTCTGTTGTCCAGGCTGGAGTGTAATGGCATGATCTCGGCTCACTGCAACCTCTGCCTCCAGAGTTCAAGCAGTCTCCTGCCCCAGCCTCCCAAGTAGCTGGGACTACAGGTGTGTGCCACCACACCCAACTAATATTTGTATTTTTAGTAGAGACAAGGTTTCACCATGTTGGTCAGGCTGGTTTCAAACTCCTGACCTCAAGTGATCTGCCTGCCTCAGCCTCCCAAAGTGCTGGGATTACAGACCTGAGCCAATGTACCTAGCTAGTCCTTCCCTTTCTTACTCACAACCACATTGAGCTTCAAAAGTTCCCGTTGGCTCTCCAGGCAACACATCCAGACCCTGGCCAGAAACACTGATAAGGACGCAGACACGCATGTATAATAAGCCACTGGACTCCTTCCATGTACACTGTCTAAGCATCAACAGCACCAAGATATGAGCACAAAGAAATTCTCGGCCAGGCGTGGTGGCTCATGCCAGAAATTCCAACACTCTGGGAAGCTGAGGCAGGAAAATTGCTTGAGGCCAGGGGTTTGAGACCAGCCTCGGAAATAAAATGAGACCTTGTCTCTACAAAAAAATTAAAAATTAGCCAGGCATGGTAGTGCACACCTGTAGTCCCAGCTACTCATGAGACTGTGGCAGGAGAATTACTTGAACCCAGGAGTTCAAAGGTACAGTGAATAATGATTACGCCACTGCACTCCAGTGTGAGTGACAATGTGAGACCCTGTCTCTAAAAAATGAGAACACATGGACACAAAGACAGGAACTCCAGGGCCTACTTGAGGGTGAAGGGTGGGAGGAGAGAGAGGATCAGAAAAAAAAAAAACAAACAAACAAAAACAAACAAACCTATTGGGCACTATGCTTATTACCTGGGTGACAAAATAATCTGTACATCAAACCCCCGTGAAACCTTAGGCCAGGCACGGTGGCTCCCACACAATGTACCTATATAACAAACCTGCACATGGGCCCTGAACCTAAAATAAAAGTTATATAATAAAAATAAATTTCAAATGTTAAAAACGAAAAAGAAAAGAAATTCTCATGGCTGTCTCATCTCTCCCCATGGTTTCTCTCTCTCTCTCTCTCTCTCTCTCTCTCTCTCTCTCTCTCTCTCTTTTTCTTTTTCTTTTTTTTTGAGATAGAATCTCATTCTGTCTCCCAGGCTGGGGTTCAGTGGCACAATCTTGGCCCACTGCAACCTCCTCTCATGGGTTCAAGTGATTCTCCTGCCTCAGCCTCCTGAGTAGCTGAGATTACAGGCTTGCACCACCATGCTTGGCTAATTTTTATATTTTTAGTAGAGATGGAGTTTCACCATGTTGGTCAGGATGGTCTTGAACTCCTGGCCTGAAGTGATCCACCCGCCTTGGCCTCCCATAGTGCTGGGATTACAGGCGTGAGCCACTGCACCTGGCCAAAAGTTTCTGTCTTTAACTATGCAGTAGAAGTGGCCATCTTCTTGCTTCTTGATGCAAATGCCACAGAAAATCATCTATTGATAATGATAGTTACAGAAGTAGATGTTTAGATTTGCAGATATTTTTAAGCCTCTCACATAAGACAACCATCTATAAATATAGTAACTTTCAGTCACTTACTAAATACATCTCCTCCATGTCAACTGCCTTGATGATATTCCATCTCAAGCAAGTTTCATTAAATCCTGAAATGTTACTGATGGTCTGTTTTACTGCAGTGGAAAAGAAATGAGAAATCAATTTACACTCTATAGAAAAAATACAACCTTTTAATTGAGCCATTTTTAAAATTAACACAAGGATAAGTGTTAGCATAAGATGAGTTCAACAGTATTTTAATTTAGGAAATAATGGTAGCAGTCTCAAAGAAATGCCACTTTTATGTTTAGGTAAACTCAGTCTTGATGAAAGATTTCAGATCCAAAGATACCTAATCGGAGGACCCCTCTTAAGAATTATTTGAGTGGGCCGGGCACAGTGGCTCATGCCTGTAATCCCAGCACTTTGGGAGGCCGAGGCAGGCAGATCACTTGAGGCCAGGAGTTCAAGACCAGCCTGGCCAACATAGTAAAACCCCATCTCTACTAAAAATACAATTAGCTGGGGATGGTGGTGTGCACCTGTAGTCCGAGCTACTTGGGAGGCTGAAGCAGGAGAATCGCTTGAAACTGGGAGACGGAGGTTGCAGTGAGCTGCAATCGTGCCACTGCACTCCAGCCTGAGTGACAGAGTGACACTGTGTCTTAAAAAAAGAAAGAAAGAAAGAAGGAAAGAAAAAATTATTTGAGTCTATTCACTGCAAAATTCCTTGGCTGCGCCACCTGCGCCTCCCTCCCTGTGTGCCTCACTCACCGGGGCTGCAGCGGTGCGCCGGTGCCGGGCCCTGCCTCGCCGGCCATGGGGGAAGGGGGCGCCGTGGGGTGCTGGTGGCGGCCGCAGCAGCAGCAGCAGCAGAGGCAGCTGCAGCGGTGGTGGCCGGGCCGCGGAGGCAGCGGCGAGGGCGCGGGGCGCGCCGCCATGGGCCTGGCGGGGCTGCAGGAGAATGTATTTATCGGGCAGTCAAAGATCTATTCCTGCATGAGCCCGAACAAATGCTCTGGAATGCGTTTCCCCCTTCAGGAAGAGAACTCAGTTACACATCACGAAGTCAAATGCCAGGGGAAACCATTAGCCGGAATCCACAGGAAACGAGAAGAGAAAAGAAATGCTGGGAACGCAAAACGGAGCGCCATGAAGTCCAAGGAACAGAAGATCAAAGATGCCAGGAGAGGTCCCCTGGCACCTTTTCCAAACCAAAAATCTGAAGCAGCAGAACCTCCAAAAACTCCACCCTCGTCTTGTGATTCTGCCAATGCAGCCGTCGCCAAGCAAGCCCTGAAAAAGCCCATCAAGGGCAAACAGGCCCCCCGAAAAAAAGCTCAAGGAAAAACGCAACAGAATCGCAAACTTAGGGATTTCTACCCTGTCCGAAGGAACTCCAGGAAGAGCAAAGCTGAACTGCAGTCTGAAGAAAGGAAAAGAATAGATGAATTGATTGACAGTGGAAAGGAAGAAGGAATGAAGATTGACCTCATCGATGGCAAAGGCAGGGCTGTGATTGTCACCAAGCAGTTCTCCCCGGGGTGACTTTGTGGTGGAATATCATGGGGACCTCATTGAGATCACCAAAGCCAAGAAGCGGGAGGCTCTGTACGCACAGGACCCTTCCACGGGCTGCGACGTGTACTATGTTCAGTATCTGAGCAAAACCTACTGCGTGGATGCAACTAGAGAGACAAATCGCCTAGGAAGACTGATCAATCACAGCAAATGTGGGAACTGCCAAACCAAACTGCACGACACCGACGCTGTACCTCACCTCATTCTCATCGCCTCCCGAGACATCGCGGCTGGGGAGGAGCTCCTGTATGACTATGGGGACCGCAGCAAGGCTTCCATTGAAGCCCACCCGTGGCTGAAGCATTAACTGGCCAGCCCTGTGCCCTCCTGCCCCACCGTCCCTTCTTCAAAGGACAAAGTGCCCTCAAAGGGAATTGATTTTTTTTTTTTTTTTACACACTTAATCTTTTTTTTTTTTTTTTTTTTTTTGAGATGGAGTTTCACTCGTTACCCAGGCTGGAGTGCAGTAGCGCGATCTCGGCTCACCGCAACCTCCGCCTCCTGGGTTCAGGCAATTCTGCCTCAGCCTCCCGAGTAGCTGGGATTACAGGCACGCGCCACCATGCCCAGCTAATTTTCTGTATTTTTAGTAGAGACGGGGTTTCACCATTTTGACCAGGATGGTCTCGATCTCTCGACCTCGTGATCCACCCGCCTCAGCCTCCCAAAGTGCTGGGATTACAGGCTTGAGCCACCGTGCTCGGCTTACACACTTAATCTTAGCAGATTACTTGAGATGTTTTTAAAAAGTATATTAAGATGCCTTTTCACTGTAGTATTTAAATATCTGTTACAGGTTTCCGAAGTGGACTTGAACAGATGGCCTTATATTACCAAAACTTTTATATTCTAGTTGTTTTTGTACTTTTTTTGCATACAAGTCGAATGTTTGTGCTTCCCGTGCCTGCAGTCCAAGACTCAGCACAGGTTTTAGAGGAAAGAGTCAAACATGAACTAGGAAACCAGGCGAGTCTCCTTTCTCCAGTGGAAGAGCCGGGACCTTCCCCTGCATCCCGACTGCCAGGGACAGGGTGCGAGGAAGACGCTGCCTCCCAATGGCCTGGACGGCATGTTTCCAAGCTCTTATTCTCCTAACGTCTCGACAGGCGCTCATTGAAGTCTATGAATATATATATATATATATATATTTTTTTTTTTTTTTTTTTTTTTTTTAAGACGGAGTTTCACTCTTGTTACCCAGGCTGGAGGGCAATGGCGCGATCTCGGCAACCTCCGCAGCCTCCTGAGTAGCTGGGATTACAGGCATGCGCCACCATGCCCAGCTACTTTTTTGTATTTTTAGTAGAGACGGGGTTTCACCATGTTGACCAGGATGGTCTCGATCTCTTGACCTCGTGATCCACCCACCTCGGCCTCCCAAACTGCTGAGATTACAGGTGTGAGCCACCCCGCCTGGCCATGAATATTTTTTAAAAGGTTTCGCAGTAAGCTAGTCTTCCCCTCTGCTTTCTTGAAAGCTTCCTGAGCCCCAGGCCCTGAGCACAGGCCAGGCATAGATTTCCTCTTCCATAAGCTGCCGCTTTTCTGGGCCCCTTGAAGCATCAGGGCACGAAATCAAACTAGATGTAGGCAGGGAGAGTGTTGGTTACCCGCCCTGTCGGGGCAGGGTTTCCTGAAACTGGGTTAGTTTTTTATAGAAATGTGAACACTGAATTTATTTTTTAAAAATAATAAAATTTTTTTTTAAAATCAAAAAGAAAAAAGATTTTTAAAAAAACCACAGAAAACAACTTAAATGTATATAGGTCTTGAAGTCAGTGAAGTGGCTGCTTTTTTTTTTTTTTTTTTTTTTTTTGCTTTTTGTAGAAGAGATTGAGAATGGTACTCTAATCAAAAATAAAGTTTTGTAGTGGGACCAGAAATTACTTACCTAACATCCACCCCCATTTCCCTGCATCCTACTGGGGTTGAAAGTTCCAGACCTGCTGTCGAAGCCTTGTGTTTGACAGGCACCTGGCGTCCCACCTGTAACGTCGCAGCCGTGAGCTGAGGTGTGAGCCTAGGAGCCCAGGACCCCTGACCCCAGCCACTGCTGCCAGCTTCAGAACGGCACCCAGGTGTGAAGGGGAGCGCATAGGGCCCGGCAGCCCTCAGGAATCAAGGATAGGGCTAAGGTTTTCACCTTGGCTGTGAGGGTAGGGAGAATAAGTGGCTGCCTCCTCCCTCCCTTCACAGAACTGATTCTCACTGTTCCTTCCTTCAGTCCGGGAGGCCGGGGCTCAGGAGCCGTGACCTGGTGTCTCCTGCCCACCCTGGTCCCAGGTAAATGTGAATGGAGACAGGTATGAGAGCCTGTCCTCATCTTTGATTCCCCCCAACCCCACCCCAGGCCTCACGACGGTGCTACCTAAGAAAGTCTTCCCTCCCACCCCCCCAACTAGCCTGGTCAGTGGTCAGCGAATTGGACGAGGATCTGACAGGAGTGTAAATGTGAGATACAATGTCTTGATTGTATCTGTTTGTGGTTTAGCTTTGTATTTAAAAAAACAAGGAAATAAACTTGAAAATTATTTGTCATCATAAAAATGAAGCAAAAATTAAAATATTTATTGCCAGGCCAAAAAAAAAAAAAAAATTCCTTGGCTTACTAAACTATAATTTCAACTCTTGGTCCTGGGCCTTGTATACACTCATTTATACAAATAAGTGTCAGTTTGAAATTCTGAACAAAAACAAAAACAAACAAACAAACAAAAAGACAACTCCCAAATTACCTGAAAAAAAGGAAAGCCCCATCAAAGTTAAGGCTGGATTTTTTTTTTTTTTTTTTTTTTTTTTTTGAGACAGTTTCTCTCTTGCTACCCAGGCTGGAGTGCAATGGCACGATCTTGGCTCACTGCAACCTCCGCCTCCTGGGTTCAGGCAATTCTCCTGCCTCAGCCTCCTGAGTATCTGGGATTACAGGCATGCGCCACCATGCCCAGCTAATTTTTTGTATTTTTAGTAGAGATGGGGTTTCACCATGTTGACCAGGATGGTCTCGATCTCTTGACCTCATGATCCACCCGCCTTGGCCTCCCAAAGTGCTGGGATTACAGGCGTGAGCCACCACGCCCAGCCCGTAAGGCTGGATTTTATAACCCCCTGGCCTGTCAGGTTCCTAAGAATAAAGCCAAGTTGGTAGACATGACCCCTCTCTGTGGATTGGGCAGCTCGGCACAGAGAAAACCTATGTAGGTCACAAGCTGTACCACAGAGCAGGTAAAGAACGGGAGGCAAAGATGAACAGGAGATAAGGAACAGGAGGAATACAGATGATTCCGGGTAATGCAACCTCACAGCTGGGTACAGAAGACAGGTTTGGAGACATGTAGTAGTGATCCAAAGTTACATTTCTGAAACTTTCAAAATAAAAATAACTCCAATAGTATTTGAACAGTTCTAGACTATACAGAAAGGTGGAAGCTTCCCCAGGTCATTTAATATGACTAAATAATCCACAATGCCCAACCTGTACAAGGATGACACAGCCAATCACTACACATACTACACCAAACTCACTTGTTAATATAAATACAAAAATACAAAATAA